GATCAATTAACTATACATATATGTATATGTTTGTCATAAATATCATCCCTAGAGAATATACTGAGTTAAGGGTACCCAAAAAAGTACCCTGATACCAGTATGTCACAGGAACTTTTTGGTACCAAAGTACTTGCAGGTACTTACAGGTACCTATGTGGTACTTTGGCAAGTACCCTGCTGGAAAATGCACAGTAATTGGGTACCTAAAGGTACTGATCAAGTACTGAATTGGGTACCATTGTATAGTATTTCTAAGTACCCTGTTACCAAATTTTCAGTATGTTCAGGATCGAACCTGATCTTTGACTTTTTAAAATTTTTTCTTTTTCTTGAGATAATTTACTAGATTTTTTTTTTACTTTATTCAATTTAATTTTTTCAATTCCAAAAACTTAGCAGGAACAATGTCGGGATCCGACTCAGCTTGAGTTGGTCGTAGACCACTTCAGGGTAGTCCGATCTTAATTTACGACCAAGCTCGGCATTTCCTCGACTAAGAAATAGTCAAGAAATAATTTAGAAAAAAACTAGTATGAAAATTGATTATTTTCTTATGATTTATCGAGTTGTTTATATAGAGCCGTACGTAAAAAAGAAAAACGGTGAATGAATAGTCGTCACACAGAACGCGAAAAATTTAGGATACCCTGTCGAGATTTCCTCAGTAAAGTTACAGACTTGTGTATCCATGCAGGTACTTATTCAGTGAATGTACTTTTACGGGTACCCCAAACAGTACATACATCAGTAAAATTACTGAGAATTTTCAAAGTACCCATATTGGGTACCCTGCTAGAGCTTTCTCAGTACATGGGTACCGTGAACTCAGTACTTTCTCTAGGGATCGATTTACTGAGAGGGGTCGAAACTTTTGAATCACTCTTTATATTTGAACTGGTCAATGTCTGCTATCTAGGCTAGAGTTAAGTTAGAACTCAATTATTATAACATACGTATATGTCAGATTTTACTTTGAACGGATATTTTAGCAGATTTTTTTTTAATATACGATTAGAATCAAGATTCTAAAAAATCCAACTTTATCATTCAATGGAAGACAAAATAAATAGTTCGAAGCAGTGTTCGTTCCTTGAACGTCGTCGGCGATCGATCCTGGCAGGTTATTTAGTCACTACTGCAACGCATGGCCTACGCAATATCGGTATTGCTAACAGCAAATTGCATCGAGCATTTTGGATTATCACCTTTGTGATGATGTTTGGCTTGATGTCCTGTTTCATACTCATGGAACTCTTGCAATATTTTGCTTTTCCTACACAGATTAGCGTCGTCATTGTGCCCATACGCGACATGCTATTCCCAGCTGTGACTGTGTGCAACGCTAATCCGTTTAGAAAAGATCGAATGAACGAAGAACTCAATGCTTATGCGCATGAGAAGGGTATTGATGTGAATGAATCGACTTCTGAGGTGCTGGCTGTTACCATGCTCATTGATATGTTTAATCGAAACAAATCTCATGAGTTCGAAAAGTTTGGATTTCAGCTATCAGATATGTTACTTGAATGCTCATACAATGGTATGAATTGCTCATCGAATTTTGTTCATTCTCTATCGTCGGTCTTTGGTAATTGCTATACATTCAATTGGAAAGTGCCCATGAAGAAATTATTTACGCTAGCTGATCTAGGTTCAACATTGATGATGTACGAAGGCTTGTCTATAACTTTTTACATACCGCGTCATCTTAGTTTTCCATCAACAACCTTCGAAGATGGTCTTGCTTTATTCTTACATGACAACGATGAACTTGCATTCATGGTTAAAAATAGCATACGACTACGACCTGGTCTCGCTCATATAATAACATATCGAAAAAGTGAAACAATTTTTCTTCCTAAACCTTATACGAATTGTACAACTGTAGTTGGGCGTAATTTGCGTCATATCTACGAGGTTATCTTCGATCCGCATTTGGCCCTTCAAGTTGCTTATTCCGAAGCTTTATGTTATGAATTGGGTAAACAAGCATATATTTTCTCACAATGTTCCTGCATTTTGCCTATTCCATTTCTTATGCGAAATGTCTTTTCGTTGAATCATGATCGACTTCTAATCGCCAATATTTGTATGCCGGCCATGTTGGACGAAAACTGTGCATTGAATGCACGACAGCAGATAGCTTTGAATGCATCTCTCATGGCTGTTTGGTGTTCCCGATGTGCTCCACAATGTAAGCACACACAATTTTCGATCGATGTTAGTGCATTACCGGCACCAACTGCGCAACAAAAAGCATCATGGAAAAATGTTTTGTTAAAAAACAATTCTAATATGTCCTTGCCGGATGATTTTGCTACCAATTATGATGCCTACATGGACGCCAATTATTTACGAGTGACTGTAGCATGTGCTAGTCCATATGTAACAATACATCAACAACAGGCTAAATTAACGCTCATTGATACATTTTCGGCCATTGGAGGCCAAACTGGACTGTAAGCAAAAGCTTCTTTTTTGTTGACAACATTCTATTATAATGAGTTAATTGAAGGTGGATTGGGCTTAGTGTGCTAAGTTTAATGGAATTCTGTGAGTTGATCTATCAATTAATTATGAAACAAATTATACTATGGCGATATCGGCGAAACATGCACACTGAAATGCAAGTGAAAGCGTCGACGACCACGATTGAAAGTGTACCAAATCAATCACAATAACAAGCATAAACCTTTTTTTGAACTGACAAATGTGAACTATTTTTCAGATTTTCTTTGATTTAAGTGTCCTAACGAGGCTTATCTGCTTTAGAAATACATTTTATTTTGACTGATTCTTGTTAGCTGACAAATTAATCAATACAAGACTCTAGCATATAATTAGTTTAAATCAGCTCTATCCAAGTCTCCTTAAAACGCGATTAACAAATTTAAACAGTATTGTTGTAGGCTTAAAATATGTAACATAATCGAACTATTTCAATCGTACATGAAATGACATTGACTTGAATAAAGATTTATCGTGCAGTTCCAAAAGCAACAATTCCAGATCTCTGTCACAGCTTCTGAATAGCGTCCGGAAAACTTCGTTGTTTTTAAGTTTACAATTTCAAATACTCCTAAGAATTGAAGAATCCTGATGAAATTCGAAGTCTGATATTCAAAAAAACTTCGCAACTTCAAACGAATCTACGGGGTTGAAATTTCTACAAAATATAACAATTCAATCAATATGGAGTTCAAATGTGAAACACAATAGAGCCAATTCTATTATACCAAAAGGCGCTCTTGATATCGATCATAGTTTCTGACAAGACCGTCAAATCAGCATGTAGGAATAGTGATCACGGCCTACTATAAGGATGACAGAACTAAGTTGCAAAGAACAAAGGCGATTTTTACACTACAAGATTATGAACTCATTCAGGATCGACAAATCTATTTATAATCTGGAATATACTACGATGAAAAAAATCCAAAGTCCCGTGTCATTCTATCTATCACGGTCTGTGGAGCAGTCTTCAAGTGAATACAAAAATGGAAGTCTTGAATATTCATTAACAATAGAAAAATATACAAGATCATAAAGACATTTGTTTAGGGTGTGGGTGTATATGTGGGTGTGGATGTGAGTGTGAGTGTGGGTGTGAGTGTGGGTGTGAGTGTGGGTGTGAGTGTGGGTGTGGGTGTGAGTGTGGGTGTGGATGTGGGGTGTTGGTTTGAAAGAAAGAAGAACATCACTCACACTCACACTCACACTCACACCCACACCCACACCCACACCCACACCCACACCCACACCCACACCCACGCCCACACCCACACCCACACCCACACCCAC